TCAAAACCAAAAACATTAGATTCAGATTAAAGTTCTTCTGGTTACATATCCTAATATCATCATAGAAAACTTGGTTTCTGCTTTTAGAGATCCAGAATATTTATAAAAGCACCGATTTTCATTCTATGATTCGCATTATAAAAATCTCTAGAAAGAAACGTCGGGGTGTGTGAGGGTTCAATAATATTTATTTCCAGTGCTTGTCAACTAGCAAATTGTCCTTGTTAAAGTAAAAATGGTATGCATTCTTATGTGAGAATATATTAGGATATAAATTGACACTCATACATGAAAACTAAAACAGTTAAGCAAACATAATATGCCAAAAATGCCATGCAAATATTTTAGGGTATACAAATTAGTGATTTTTAATCTAACAAACAAATATATATTAAAAGTCAAGCCATTAAAACCCCCACCCACAAGTAATGTATAGATATTATTAGGGTTATTACTGAAGAATACCAATACTATAGTACTTGGGTTATGCTTTTAAATAGCTTAAATGAAATATGTGGCGTAACATATGGTTTTTAAGTCAGAGAAATAATCAGTTGAAAAAATTTAAAAGTGAGGTGACTAGGGAAGTTCTACCAACCAACAAGTTATACATACAAAGAGAACATCTTTAAACAATTATTTTAAATTTCACATTAAACATCTGACTAGTTTGCTACTATTCAGGGTGTAAAACTACTAGAATAAAATTTCTTCTCTTTAAGAGATATTTAAGCAGCAGTTTCTAAGCTCTAAGGGCTAATTCACATTCAGCATTCAGAAACATGTATGTGTGAGCATTGTAACAAATGAAATCAGGGCTGGAATATGGATCCATTAGGTCATAGCTAAATTGGTTTGCAATGATGACAGAAGGGTGCTTGGGATGTGCTTTGAATTTTATGTGATGTTCACATACAATCCTCAACTCTCTTTTTTTTTTTTTGCTGCTAAGTATCATGGACTTTACAATGAAACCTGGTGGGGTGACTTAGAACATAACATAAAAAGCATTCTTTATTATGGCACAGGAGAATTTCTGATCATTTCTCTTTACTAATGTTGAGCTAAGAGAAGTAAAAGTGACACAAAGTCATACTTTTTCTCTATAAAATTTAACTAGTTTTTTTTTATTGTTTTGTTGTTGCTCATTTGTTTTTGCCTTTTTTAAGAAGGAAGAATTCCCTGCTGTGTTTGGTTTCATTTGAAAGAGATATTCTCAATGTCTCTGAAAATGTAAAGCTTTAAAAAACTTTTTTATTATTTTTCTATTAATGCATTTCCAATTCCAACCTACCATGCTTGGCAGATGAATGCAGTAGGTATGGATAATCTACAAGTAATGCTTCATCTGTGAAAGTCAAGATAAATAATGTTTAATCTTTCCTAGTAGTTAAGTATTTGGGTTTTGTTTTGTTTTGGTTTGGTTTTGGTTTTGGTACCAGGAATTCAACTCAGGGACACTCGACCACTGAGCCCACATCCCTAGTGCCTCACTGTTTGTTGCTAAGGCTTTGAACTTGTGATCCTCCTGTCTCAGCCTCCTGAGCCACTGGGATTACAGGAGTGTGCCACTGTGCCTAGCAGTATTTGGGTTTTTAACTATGTTAGAATTTACTCTAAAAACTATAGGAATAGGCCACTTATTCTATAGCAAACTAAGCCATGATAAATTACTGGGTAAGACATTCTTTCATTTTGGAATATCTCAGAAGAGCTCAGACTATATACTTTGAATACTTAAATTTCTGGGGGAAATACATTTTAATCTACCTTATGTATTTATGGTAACTTCATCTTTTTTCATGAAGCATGAGGACATTGGAAATATAATTGAATCTTTTCAAGTTTTCTCATTACTAGTTCTGGTTATGTTAAAATATTCAGCATCCTATTACCATGGAACATCACTTAGTAAATTTAATAAAAACATTTAACATAGTTTTGATTCAAGAAAACAAATTTAAATATTCTCGATAGTATTTACATATGAAGATTTGATATTACTCTTTTTGAAGCAATTTATTTTGATTGAATTACTTTCATGATTAAAGAACCACTTCTTGAAGTGAAGCAATAAGAAAAGATGTTCAAACATGGACCTGACCAACATTTCTAGAAGGAGAAGGTTTGGCTTTTCTTGTCTGCTCCCCTCTTCAAGGAAGCAGAAATCCAGAGAGAACAATATATATCAAGGTAATCAACCTTAAACATGATAGAAGAAGAACTGGCTATCTTTAGACAGGAAGTTTGGATGCTTTTTGGATCTTTAAGCATGAATTAAAGACAATTTTGTTTTCCTTCTATACATGGTTCCATGTATTTTTTGGTCTTATGTACATTAAGATAAGTTATATTGTATCAATATTCTTGAATAAGCATATTGAGTTTCACCAAGTCAATAAAGCTGCAATCTTCATTTTTATGTCTTCAAACATACTTAGCACAGAAGCACACATACAAAAGCTCCCATCTTTTATATCACCATTGTTATCATGCTATAGAATTTTCTAGTGTGAACATAAAGATCAATTCAGGTAAGGCAAAAAGCACCATAAGGTAAAAGTAAATAGTGTTTAAACAGATACAATATGTTAGGTAATAGCACAAATTGCCCAACATCCATGGTGCACAATATAGAGAAAAAAAGATATTCTCTTTTTCATTGGTATAAAACATACTAATACACAAAACTTGATTTAAGTTATATAAGTCATAGTTAGCAATTTAGTTAACTTGATTTTTCATGTAAACACACCTTTCTGACTTCAGGAAAATTTAAAAGTAGAAATCACAATCAAGGTTTTCTTGGAAGCTGAGATTGTTAGGTGACAATAGTTTAGCTTATTCCCAACTGAATTTCCTATAAGAATTTGAATATTTTCTAGAGGAACAAATTTACATAATTTGAATATACAACCCCAAACTAGTATTTCCCCTCGATTAGAAATTCTAAGAAAAATTAATTTTGGAATGCTCGTCACCTAAAATAGTTAACGGGTTTCCTAATTTGAATTTGCTTAGTTTTTTTTTTTTAATGAAATGATCATATCAGCAAATTCATCATTTTACTTCATGGGGAAATCATGAGAGAGATCATGACTCCAGTGGTCTTAAAATATTTCATTGCTTATTAGCAGAGACGATAGAAGTTAAGTTTGGCTTCAAAATACATAGATATATTTGGCTTTTAATAATCTGGATTTGAGCTATTTGCAAATTTGGATTTTTTTTTCTATACATATTAGCTGATAGATCTGTAGAATAATGAAAATCTTGATTTACTCTAGATTATGAAAGTTTACAGACCCTATCTTATTGGAAACTTCTGCCAGTTTGAAAATGCAGTTTATTTAAAACTGGCATAGAAACTGGGGAAGGCATTAAATGGGAATCAGGGTTAGGAAGGAAGAGAAGGACAATAAGACTTTTATTATAGTTTTCAACATTATTCTAGAAATATCGTAAATAATGAGGACAGAAGTAATCCCTTGGAAGCACCAAGAATACCTCCCGAAATAGAATATGAGGATTTCTGGATTATTTATTTCTCATTAGTCGGAACTTGTTTATCAAACAAATACTTCATTTTAGAAAGCAGTCATTTCAAACTTTAGACTTTATTTACAATGATAATTTTCATATTTTATTACTTAGAAAATAATTTATACTTTTCCATCATTTAAACAAAGAATAGGCCTGAGTCTCATGCCTTTTGCACAGTTTTTACCTTCAAGAAAGTTCTCTGGGGAAAGAAAGGCAAGGGACATGGGGAGTCACAAATTAATAGCCTACATACATCTAATGAACATCTGCATGATACTCAATTCCTTATCTTATACTGGGATTGCAATGGTTTTGTTCTGGAATCCAACTAAAATGGAACAGACAAAATTCAGTATGTTTTTTAGAAAGTGGATACTTTTTAAAATATAATATGAGGAAATTCCTTTACATTTCAGATGAAGACCAATATAGACATATTCCTGTACAGAGCTAAAGTCTTCATCCTTTATTGAGAACAAAACCAGGTCTTATAAAATGACCAAAAAAAAAAAAAAAAAAAAAAATACAGATAACCAAGAAAGCAAAAGTGGTGTTTTCACCAAGGAAATAATATTCAAAAGTCTGGCTTAGCTATATCACTAGAAAGACAGACAATCTATTAGCATGCTTAAAATAACATTGATAACAGAGAGAATATACCTGGACTTTTTCTTGACAGAGAACAACCTGTTCCAATTTTTCCTAATATTGATTTTATGGCTATCTATACAACGATCCTTCTCCCTAAGTGGGCTGGAAGTTCCTTCATTTGAAAGACCTGAGTTTATCTAATATGGCACCTAAAAGTAGGCTCATATAAAAATGTAGTAAATTGCAACAAAGACATTGGCACCACAGGAATTAAGCTCTGGATCTGGAAGTGAATACAGTAATATTGCTGTCACCAAGGAGGGGGATAACATCACAAGCAGAAAATATCTGGTTATGTCCCTAGGTGCATCTTTTAAGATGCACCAGGTATGTATGAAAGTCACACACCTGGTGGATTTCCATTCCTTTATTTCAATTGACTTCTAGCTTACATATAATGGTAATTTATTTTTTTAAGAAAAAAGTTACTAAACTGCCTGGATTGATGAACATGATTCTGGAATAAGAGGTTCCAATTGATTTGGTCATTATTATTCCTCTTATATCATGTACCTTAAAACAAAACAAAACAACAAAAAAATCCAGGCAGTTGGCTGAGAACTCCATGGTGCCAGCCAGGCTGGCTTCTAAGCAGAAGGCTTTGCAGAATAACACTGCCTACACACAGAAAGGACTCTCACAGTGGCTCTGCCACCCGACTCACTCCACATCTGGTTTTTCCTCTTATTCATTTTAGAGATATATAGTCATATGGAGAAAGACAAAAGATTAATTCTAAGTAAACAGATGCAAAGAGTACGTGATTATAAATTCCTTTTTCTTTCTTATTTGTAAGGGTAACTGTTAACTTTATTGGGGAAATGTTTTTGACTCACAGTACATTTTGCAAACATAGAGAAACACAGGCAATTCTAAGAAAACGGGAACTCAGCAAATGCTAAATAACGATGACCTGGTGTTAACTGAGAAATACAAATTGAAATATATACTAATTATTTAGGTATTGTTTGCATCCATTTGATCATCTTTACATTTTCCTACTTAATAGAAAAATTTGCCTTGTCTTTACCTAATTTGAAAAAATTCCATGAATTATTATAAAGTCATGCTTTGGAAGGAAAGAATACACTATCCAGTCATGAGAAACAAAGGGATTTTTCATGTAAACACTCCTTTCTGACTTCAGGAAAAGTTAAAAGTAGAAATCACAATCAAGGTTTTCTTGGAAGCTGAGATTGTTAGGTGACAAGCAAGTGTGTATACAGAACTAAGAGTTGTAGTCCCAAAAACATTGGAGAGAAATGGACACCAATTACAACAATTTGATATCGGTTTAAAAAGTCTTTCATTTGGGAGGCAAAGACCCAAAATTAGTTAGCATTCAGTTAGCAAGAGTTACTACTGGGAAAAAAAAAAAATTCTTTACAGCATCCTCATTTAATTGGCAAGAATAACTATCAGATTATCTTTTAAATTAGAATAGGTAGATGAGCAGTTGTCCACAGACCTCTATGCCAATGAACTACACCCTCTTACTGGACCTGGAGATAGCTACAATGTATAAAAATGGTGATTAAAATATAACTTTATAAAAATGTTTCCCTTTTCCCTTTCTTTTCTTTAAAAAAGTGTTTAGTATCTACAGAAACAAACAAAAAATCTTCATATTTACATCATGATAACTATTCATGACATATATAATAATATGAAATAAAATATTGAAAGTGAGTATCAACTTTTTAAATAGAGGTTTGGCTCACAGCATAAACAAGTGTAGATAAACAAACCAACCAAAAAAAAAAAAAAAAAAAAGACTTTCAATAACAGCCCCGTCCCTAAACAATCCCTCAGTAATCTTCCCTGCCAAAAAGCATGACAATGTGCCAGACTGAGATGGAAACTACCCCATGGCACAGCGTTAGAAATACCACAACAGGGGGTACAGCCTGACCTTCAACCCCAAAGTCAACCTTTAAAAGTTGCCAAGATCAGGCTTTCTTATGTCAACGCCCAAACCCTAGGTTGCCATCTTCTCCCTCATCTCTTGCTATATAACCCACAGTGGGTTTCCATTTGTCTTTTCATTTTTGACTACACATTTTGCAGCAAATTAAGGAGGCACGGGAGATCACTGTTAAATGTAATTTCCCAGGCCTTCTCTGGCATCCTTTTAGAACTCTCACCTGATGAAACCACCTGACTCCAGTTCCTTTTAGGTGTTTATGTATAAAGAATGCCATTCCCTTAAATGGTGTTTTGATCTTATGTGAGTGCACACACTCACAAACGGCTCCTATACATTCATTAGGCTAGTAGACTGGAAAATGCCTCCGTCTTCCAGGTTTGAGGCTGGTGGTACAGCGCCTCCAAGTGGTGTATAGCAGTAGTATCAATCAAATGGCCCATGAATGCCCTCCATCTGCCAAGAGGCCTTAATTAAAGCTAAATTGGAGGAGGGCATTTGGAATGACTGCCTTTCAAAGACACTCCAGAGTGAACTTCCTTCTCTTGTTCACATGTACTGAGACATCTGCTACAGCTATTCTACAAACTACTAAACCCGCAAAACTCTTTACATACGCACACACATGCATACAAGCACTCTTTCAACTAATACACACTCTCTCTCTCTCTCACACACACACACACACACACACACACACACACACACACGGTGTTGGCAGGATGTATCAGAATCCAAATAATGCTCTGGAACTTTCATCCCTCAGTATGAAGAGCTAAAGCTGCTTAGTTGGTAACCTACATTTGCTGCACCACATCGTTGCTAAGCTGCACCATTTCCCTTGTGATTTGTTTTCCTTTATGATTTATTATATCACAGTGACCACTATATTTCTTAATATGAATGTTACTTAATTGTGGAGCCAGAGATCCTGGCTTTCAGTGTGTTTGTGTGTATACGCACATGTGTGTGAAGGTTTGTACATGTTTCTACGTGGGACCTTATATATACACACACATATATAATATATCCTCCTTAAAAAAAAAATCTGTCGAAGCTGGTGTTGCAAATGTGAAAGCTTCTCTGAGCAAGAGTTTTTCGACAAGGTACCTCACTGTAAAAATAAACACATACAATGCGAAGAATCCCAAAATGCAATAGCCATTTGCCCATCTTCTCATATTTCTACAGTGTTGTGTCTAAGTGTTGTGCTGGCTTGAAAAAAGTCTGTGACAAATTAGTTTGGAAACACAGCTTGTTCTGTTCATGGTCACAGGTTGGGCTCTGGGACCAGGCTCTCCTCTGCTCTTGGTTTCCCTTTCTCCTCCTCTTCTTCCTTGATGGCCTGGATCTGCTCTGAGGAGTACTGCTGAGGAGCCTGGTCCAGGGACTGGTTTTCTGTGCCCACCAAGTGCTGCTCATCTTCAATGACTTTCTTCCACATCTTGTGGTTCTGTAGGAGGTGCTGAGTTATTTGGCAGTAGATTTTCTTCCTCTTAAAAGTTTTCTTTCCTAAAAAAGGCCATAAAATTAGATGACTTATTCATGTGCTGAACACATAGAAGTTATTTCTTTGCATATTATTAATAGGATTTAAGAACCAAATGGATTCATATGGAGCTTTCAAGAATAAGGAAATAAGGGAAAATGATAATAACTAAATAACTATTAAAACATCACTGAGAAATAACTGTGCACAGTATCCAGTACTGGGTAATGTCCACACAGAGTTCTGCTGGTGTCTTGGTATTACTCCTACGACAGTTAAGACTTTCAAAACTTCTCACCTGGACCACTGGAATTGCTTGTTAGGTCTTCTTTTGTCAAAGAATTCAACTCTCAAATAAGTCTACAAAGCTAATCTCCTTTAAAATGCTTTTGATGTCAGACTTCTGCTTTGTGTGAACTAAAAAACGAATTTCAAACTCCATTCTAAGTTCTTCCACAAGCTGGTACAAACTCAGTTTTATGGTCTTCCTGTTCTACAGCCTGACCTCTGTCTATGCTTGACTGATCTGTTTTCTTTACATACCCTGGACTTTTCCACTTAGAAGCTGGTACTGCTCCTCCTTCTGAAATGCTTGTTTTAATCACTAAAAGTTCATATTCACTCATCAAAATAACCTCTAGTCAGATTTCACTTCTAAGAAATAATTTCTTTTCTCCTCTTAAAATTTTCATGTTCCTCCATACATACTTTCTAGAGTAGACGTTATTTCTTTTTTTCCCTCTTTGTTATTATTATCTCTTTTTCTGGTATCTGCATATTCAAAATTATTAGGGAAGAAGTTACCTCTCTTCCTTCAATTATGCAGTTCTAGAAAATGTGTCAAAGACTAGTTCCCCATCTACCTCCTGACAGCATGAGCTGTGTCACAGTGATTGGCTAATGGGTCGGCATGTGATCCAAGTCAGGCCAATCAGATTCCTTCCCCAGGAGTTTTTCTAGTGATGCAGTATGAATGTGGAGTTGGAAGATGGGGGTTGGAATCTATTCTCCTCTGTTTCTATATCTGGAATGATATGAACTTAGAGCTGGCTATAGTTTAGAGCTGGCTATAATTTATAGCTTGCTATAGAGCTGGCTTTACTTTATGAAAAAAGTAAAGTTAAAATAACAAATTAATGGGAAGGAGAGGCAGACAGGAGTAAAAGCAAGTAAACACTGCTAGTGGCCTACATTCTATTTACATGAAACCAATATTTTTCCCTTTCAGGATATACTCATTCAATGGGAAATCAGTAATTTATAACAAAAAGAGTCTTGAATAATGTCCCTCCTTAAAGAACATACCTTGTTCTCAGATATTTTAGGTATCAGATCATCTTCTAGATTATGGATGCTTTGATGGAGCCTTGCTCAGACCTATACAGACCTTATATGACAAGGCTCAGCATTTAATCAATAAATAATTTACATTTTCTTATTACCAGGAACAGTTTTCAATTTGAAAGTATTAAAAGACCTTGCTTTACCCCAAGGGTGTCTCTTTTTTGAGATTGCCCCATTCACCCTTGAATGTGAACCTACTTCCCTAAATAATCCCATTTATGCCTTTGAAAAGCAAAAGAAAAAAAGTATTAAAGATGAATTTTCAGAATTATAAGCACGTCATAGATACCAGGTATTGTGCTAGGTTCTGGTGACTTACAGACAAAACAAAACAAAACAAAACAAAAAAACCAAAAAGACTAATTACAGATGAATATCTGTAATCTAAAAACTCCAAATGCAAAATGTCCCAGAATCCAAAACGTTTTGTGTGTGAACATGATGCCACCAGTGAAAAATTTTACACTAACCTTATGTGATGGATCATAGTCAAAACAGAAGTCTACTAAAAATATAATATAAAATTACTTTCAGGTTGTAAGATATATGATAAATATGAAACACAAAATAATTTCATATTTAGACTTGGGTCCCATCCCCAAGATATCTTATTATATACATGCAAATACTGTGAAATCTGAAAAATACCAAATCTGAAGAAGTCTGGACCCAAGTATTTTGGGTAAGGGAGACTTAACCTACACCATATATGTCAGAAAGGAGCCTGCTCCACTGGGAAGATGGGGTGAATGAGTAGGTACATCTTTTTCAAATCTTACCAAGTCTCTGAAAGGTGATCCATGTGGGAGGAGACAGCAGGATGATGGTGGCTTGGACCAGGACAAGGTAATGGAAATGATGGTAAGTATTATGATATATATTTCTTAGGTAGAATCAACAGGACTTGGGAACCAATTAAGAGGTAGGGAATGAAGGAGAGAGAGGAGTCAATATAACCTTGAGCTTTCTGGGCTGAGCAGGTAAGAAGATGGTGGTAAGACATACATTAGATGAGGAGCAGGTCTGAGGAGTGTGAATAGGACCCGAGAACATGAGGTGTCTGGGAGAGCCCAGTGAGAGAGGTAGAGTAGGCAGAGGCTCTGCACTTTAGGAGAGAACAGACCTCCCTTCTAAGCAACTGGAATAGAATTCTTGGTACTTTCCTCTGAGTGACATTTTTAGACTTAGGCCAAGAAATTAGAATTTAGACAAAGATCCTACCATTAGACTATAAACTTGCCCAGCTTAGCAGCTCTTTTCTCCTCTTTTGTGTACAAATCAAGCCTCAGACTTTACCAAGTATCCAGTAAGATACTTTCTTGCTTACATTCACTTTCTTACATTCACTTTCTTACTTACATTCCATAGTTGCAGGTAAATGATGAAGTGTTGATGAGAGGTAAGAATAACAACGATAGGAGTCCACAGGAAATTCTGATCCAATTGAGACCACATTAAACTAGTAATAGTGCATGATCAAAAGGGGTATCTGGATCTACTTAATAAAATAGTTATGGTTTACAATGCATATCCTCGAAAGAAGAAAAAAGCCCAGGTGGGGGGAGGGGGCAGATATTAATAACAGAAACAAAACCAAAGCCAATTGCTATGGGATGCGTCAAAGAATCTAGACCTCTTGGAGGGCACCTACCAACATTTTTGTGGAAGTGCTAGTGATTTTTAACAGTTTTATAAAATACCTAACAGATTTTTTTTGCATTTAAAGGATAATAAGATCAACTTTTAAAACACAGTATAGAAAAGGGAATTGCTTTTGAACCACACAGACACATAAAAGTCATTAAGTTGAATAAGTCCTAGGGAAAATGAAAACAGAAGAATTATGAGCAAGAATTTTCAAATATTTATTTACTATGTTTAACATTTATTCATGACATGGACCCGTCAATCAAACTTGTATCGACTAAGTGACAAACACTTCTCTGGATGTTGTTGAAACAAAGATCAATTAGACTCACAGCTTGCCTTAAAGCATCTCACACTCTAAGAGAGAAGGCAAGAAGGCAGAAACTGAATGAATACCTGTGCAACTTCAGACAGACATACACATGTGACCAATACTGCAGTGCTATTGCTCTCAGCTTGACTAAATTTTAGAAAGTTTTTTTCCCCTGTCTATAGGGGAAAAAAGTATACAGAGTCGTTTTCATCACCACCACCCCCCCGCCCCGCCCCGATTTCCCTCTTTTTAGAGCATTTACTTTAGATAGTAAATTTTCTTTGTACCTGTGCAATTTAGATGAATCTTCTCCCAGCCTGTAGCCAGTTTTACAATCCAGGAATGTTGCTATCAGGGACCTGGGATACATTCCTTTGCATGGTAATCAAGAAAGATAATGCCAATACAATATTGACGACTATAAATATAATGTATACACCAGATGTCTAGCAACTTCACACTTATTATTTTAAGAAAGTAGATCTAATTTAAATATTCTTATTATAGAATTTTAAAAATGAGAGAGAAAGAAGGAAGGAGGGAAAGGAAAGGGGAAAAGGGAAATAAAAGAAACCAGAGAGGGAAGAGAGAAAGAAATGGGGAAGGGAAGGAGAAGAAAGTTCTAGGATGGCAGGAGCCTACCTTCAATATGCACCAATTAATGCACACAGATGGCCTAATCACATCACCCAACTCCCCGCAAGGCCTCTCAGTTTAACTAGCTACAGTCAGTATTTAAAAACTCTCCTGCTTTTTGTTTCAGAGCAGTTCTGTTTTTCTCCTTTACTGCAATAGTCTAGACTCCAATTGCAACCATCCTGAATAATGCTTTCCTTGCCATTTAAAAGAGGTTGTGTGTTATTTTTCTTTAATATATCAAACTACGGCAAAATACAAAACCTGTGGGACAATAGATAGAGATCTTTTTTCTTTTTCTTTTTAAAAGACGGGGCACCTGAGCTGGAAGGAAATCATGAAAATTCACCACATTGGATGAAGAAGGGGCAGCAGCACTGCATGGGGCCCTGGGGAATGATCTCATATATCCATTTCTTCATCTGAAAGCTTCCTAACAAGGACAGTATTTTTTTTAAAAAAACTAAAATACATACACACTTCATTGCATATCCTCATTTCTTTAATGACATTTTTTTTAAATTTTCTATCAAGGTCAATAAAAATATTCATACATCCAAGTTTTAAAAGCAAATTTAAAAAATAATTCTATCAGAGCCATCTACTCATCTATTTCTACTTTGATTTTATTGCATTTCAGCACAAATTAGCTTCTATTGAGAAATTTTAAAATGTTGACATGCTTTTTTACTTAATCCTTTGAATCAAAGGAGTGACAGATGACCATTGGCTAAAGGTCAGTTTTGAATCACTGTTATAGGAAACATGCTATTGCTCAAGGTGATCACTCCATCTTAAAATTGTACACACTTATGGGGAAGAAACTAACAAAAGCTCAATTCTTCTCCTTTTCCTTTTGGGGCAGTCCCCATGAGAGCAGCTGTTCTCTTATTAATGCTGTTAAACATTAGGAATAAACCTCTCTGGGATTATACTGAATAAGGTGACGTAGAAGGAAGTTTGTACCAAATAAATGTGCGTAGATTAAAATCTGCAGGTGGTCTAAAACATGCCTATATTGGGATCCAAATTGTTCAGCACTGGAACCTTTTGAAATGAGAACAAAGAGCCTTTCATTGCTTAAATTCTAAATGCAGCTTAGTACTTCATTAGAAACCTCTTAGTTCGCCGTAGGAATCTTTCAGATTTAATTATGAGGTGGGGTAAAAGCCTTCATTCCCTAGGACACCATACTGAAACATTTTATTCTGTGTTTCCTGGGAGATCTCCAAGTTTTGCAAATTGCAGGAGTTATCAATGCACATTAAGTTAGTTCTTTTCTGAAATCTAAGTCAGGCCAAATCAAAGTAACTATTTCAGCCAATATGAATGGTGAAATTAAAATTACTAAAAGCCCAAAGCAACGGAGCTAAAAATGAGAAAAACTGGATTCTTCCTCCTGTTCTATAACCTGGAGATACTGCTTAAATTTCAGAACCTTAGTTTAGCTATATTTAAAATGAGGTAGCTAATTGAAATTCCATTACTCTATGTGGTCAATATTTAGAAATGCTCACATTGCTCAACATTTACCTTTTTTTTTTTTTTGGCTGTGAGGAATACTTTAAAGATAGTATTTTGAAAGCTTCAGTGACACTTCACTGGGTGGTGTGTTTTAAATTTTAATGAAAGGTTCCAGTTAAATTTTGAAAGGCATTACAGAATCCACATAATTCTCATTGCTGCTTTAGTAAATTTGATAAAAATGATAAGGTCAGAACACTGACATATCAGAATCTGGATGCCAGTATGATCAACCAGCCCCAGCCCGACAGACAAAATGGAAGGAAACATTTCATTTCAGCACTTGCTACCAAAGCCTAGGTTGATCAGTTGAGTCTCTTATATAATGTCCTTGTCTGGGTCCTTCCATTCCAGATCCCTGGATTATTTTGTTGTTGTTGTTGTTTTTAGTGTATCTGAGTTCAAATAGCAACCAGTCAGGGCCCACTGGAGGAAAGCTCTTCCAGAGGCTTAGCTGACAAACACCTTCCAATGTCATTCAGTGGAAAAACTGTCTTATTCTTAATTATACAGCAAGCTACTTGGCTCTTTGAAGAGAAAACTAACACATGGTCATTAAATAAATGAATAAATAACTCATGAATTCAAAGTCTTGCCTCCTGGCTCTGAATCCCAAGGCCAACACAAAATTTCTGATGGAAATCTTTTTATAAGCATCACAGAAATATAATAACTTTTACAGAATAAAACTTTTGTTGTTGTATAGAAACAACTTTTCCTTTTACATTCCATTCTGTACAGAAGTTAACAGATAGGATAGGACAAACAATAATCTAGCATAAAGCCAAATTTGCCTCTCTTCTAAATTGATAATGACCTCTTCACCTATGCTGGGTATGCTGTCAACAGAGGCTTATATACAAAAGGGAAAATTAATCTATACAACATACAGAGGCTCCTTTCTAGATGGTTGAGATGAACTAAGGTAGGCATTATCCTGGCTGTGATAAAAATAGGAGAGAAATAATCAGGATTTTTTTCATTGGTAATATTTTAATCACGTCTTTGAAAAATATTAAGGTTGCACTTTGTCTACCTGGGCAGGTCGACAGAAAAAAACACTGTGTTCTCCTGAAAACAGGGGCAGTATCTGCACGCTGTCATTTTAAAGGTCATGAGTTTTACTAATTATGCTATCAGTCACTACTTTTTGTCTCATGGCAAGAGAAATAAGAAAAATAAATAATTTTTTTATATTCATTTAATTTAAGTTGGATTAGACTGGTTGCATGATGCACCCCAAGCCAAGTAGAGCTGTAACTTATTTTCATTGTCATTGCCACTCACCTGGTCCAAAGTCATAGACACCTCACTCAGGAAACTACAATGGTCCTCTAAACAATACCTACTTCTACTTCTCCCACCTCAACCTAAAGAATATTCCAAACATGGTAGCTGATGCAATCTGGCTAAAATGTAAGTTGAGTTCACAAACTCTTCTGTCAAAACCACTGATGATTCACATCTTAGCATAAACACCAGAATCCTTATGGTAACCTACAGAGCCTTACCTTCAATTCTTATACTATGTGGCTTTCTGCTGCCTCTCTCTTCAACTCTGAATTTTATCATTTAATGTTCTTGACTACCCCAGCCAATCCTACTTCAAGAGCTTTGCACATGTTACTTTCTCCTTTGTTTGAAATCCTTCTTTTCATATATATCCCCATGAATTATTCCTTTACTTCTTTTTCTTTTTTTTTTTAATTCTCTTTCTTACTCATATTTCCCCTGCCCTGGCTATCTACAAATTTTAGAAAAATAAACTTTCTCCACAATATTTCATATGTTCCTATTTTTCCCCTCTAGTATCTATCAGTACCTAACATACTACAAATGTAATGATCTGTGTTGTTAATGTCTGCTGACCCCACTAGAGTGCAAGTCTACAAAGCAAGGATTTGCGTAGCTCTAACTTCAGTACCTGGAAGAATGACTGGCACAGAGTGTTTGCTGAATGAAGGAAGGAATGCTATCTCTTACCTTTTCACAGAACTTTCCCTTGACCAAGCCCAGAAAACTTTGTGGTTGGTCTCCACAGTAACAGAAATGCAATTCATTTCCAAACCATTAAGATATTCTGATGCAAAGGCTTCAACTCTGAATTTTATTTAACTTCATGGCAGAGAATATATCTTTGTGTAATGTATACAACCCCGAAGGATTATCAAACCCAGCGGATAATCTCTGGCCTCAAAACATAATTTTTGTGAAGCATGAAATTCATCTGAACCTCAGTAAGAAAAGAATCCTAGGAAAAACATATTGTAGCTAGATTTTTTTGTGAAGCATGAAATTCATCTGAACCTCAGTAAGAAAAGAATCCTAGGAAAAACATATTGGAGCTAGATTTTGTAACTTACTTGGAGATTCATTATTTTCACAGGTTTCTTCTTCATTTGTTGCTGCTGCTTCCTCCTCCTCATCTTCTGGGTCATCAGTGTCTCCTGACTCATCGCTATCTTCCACCCATTTTCCTGGCATGAGTCCAGCTGAGTCATAGGAATTGCACAGAGGACCCACAATGTGAGAGATGAAGGATTCCTGAAGATTGGCCAATTGAGGAGCTGACCGATCCATGAAGGGGCTTATGGGCAGCCCAAGGCTGGCTTCCTCATCACCCTAGAAACAGGGATTTAGCATGAATAGCTAGCTAGAAAGGTGAAAGAGAAGAGTCTAAGATACCAAAAAGTCAACATTCCCTTGTCATCTAAAATGTATAGATATGTAAGAGCATGGATATTCATGCTCAACTGACTTTACTTGATGGCTCAGAGATTCTACCCAAATCTCTAAGATTCAGAGAGCAATTCTTTGTTGTTTCCATTAACTAATTTTGTGATGTTGAGCTTTATCATGGAGAAATGCAAGGAGTGGCTTAATATCTCAGTAGATAATATTTCTTATCACACTAGTCAGGGTCCTTTATAGGAGAATACAAATGCATCTTAAAATGCAATGCTGGGAATGTTACTCTAACAAATATAATCTATCATGTTTTTTCTTTTTGCCTTGGTTACCAGAAAGCTTAAAATAATTTATTGCTCAATTCAAGTTGCTACTTTACCCTAGATTTTGTTTGAATGACATCTTCTGTGATTATGTTTTCTTATTTTGTTTAATAGTATTAAAGTATATGTGTTTTGTTTTGAACAACTTTAGATCTTCTTGGAAAACAATAACAGATCATAAACCACAGGTTACCTAGAAAACTTAAGGAAGGAAATATATCAAAATATCAATAAAGATTATGCCTAAATAATTCAACTATTATAAGTGGATTTTCCTTTTCCTTCACATTTTTGTGCATTTCAATATTTCATGATCAAGAAATAATCCCAATCCCAGAAAAGGCAACATATATTTTTTAAAAAATGAATCATTTTATTCTGTATATGAATAATGTCCATAATACCCATAGTTCATTCTAATCCCTGTTTAAACATGTCCAATGACAGATATTTATTACTTTATAAGGTACTTCACCCTTTGATGGGATATCTTTACTATTATAATTTTGTCTCCGACACTGATCTAAGCTATATCTCCCGATAACTTTTACAGACTGGTAAACACACATTTAAGGCAACAGAGAGGTATCGGACCTTTCTTATGAATCGGATTTGTATTGAGTACTTTTTATAATTTAGCATTTTTTAATCTTGACACCAACATTATGATAAATCTACTCCTATATTTGTACAGAGCTTTTAAGACATCTGAAGACAATCACTCCATTACCTCTGTTGCTTCACTGTTCATGCTATTTCATGTCACTGGTTCCTGTCCTTCACCCATGCTCCCTCACCTCCACATTTTCTTAAGTGAGAAATTCATAACAATGGACAAAAAGCTTCAAGCTTAATCTGGTCAATGCAGGGTAACCTGGACAGTATTGCCCCACACTTAGGTTATTATGGGGCCTTTTCTGGTAGTCTATTAACTCTTCTTGTTATATCAAACAGAATGCCAATATTTTAGCTTTTATGCACTGTTGTTATTAACTATATTGGAAAAGTAAATGAACTTAATGTATTATATATTCCTCCATTTAAATTTAAATTAGCTTTTTATTATACTAAATCTACTAAAAAACAGTATTTCAGGGTCTTTCTAATGTTTAATAGGTAATTCAATTATTTCAACATCTTTCCCCCAAACGCCATAAATAACTTTGATTTAGAATTCTATGGGTATAGTTTAGTCTTTTTTATGTGTCAGTTTTAAACTACTATTCAAAACAGGGCAGGTTTTTTTTTTGCTTGTTTGTTTTTAATAAAAGCATGATATAAAAGTGAGTGATCATACTTCCTAGCAGCCTTTCAGAAGCTTTGGTGAATTAACAAGCAGCCTAAAAGTGTAGGTTCAGATAGATGAAATGGTTCAAGTAGTTACCTGTTCATAAAATTCATTGACAATACCCTCTGTCCACTGAAGATGGAGTTCTTTACATTTGGCTGGTCCATTAATATCAGCCAACTTTATACACATTTGACAAACCAATAGACGATCATTTTCATTAGTCCAATCTATTCCAACATCATCATTCACCTGTTTAAAGGATACAGTTAAAATGATTTACCTCAAGCAAAGCAAAAATTGAACAGGAGGAAATAAAGCAATAGAATACACATATCTTTCTACTATGTAGAGATCAGAATACCAAAAAATTAGGAACTTAGATTTTTTAAATAATGTTATTGGGAATGGGGATATATCTCAAGAATAAGACAATGGCTTCCAGAAATAGTAAAATAATTAATCAAAAAAGTAAAATAATGAACAAAGAAATTGATAATAAGTGCTATTTAAAGTCAGCATATTTATTGCCAGTAAAATATTAAAGCTATAAATGATTAAAAAAGTTATCTTGCAGTAATATTTAGGCATTTATATTTGCATGACATTTTTTGTATCAAGTTTTTGACCTATGTTACTGCCATATAATTCATATATAATTATATCATAGAGAGAAGAGCAAGTTAAACAAAAATCACACTTTCAATGTTTTATTTCTCTGTAGAACAAAGTATAATACATCACATAGAGACTTAACTTCCAAGGTAGCTAGATTGAGACTACTACCTTCTATTTCTGCTGTGATAAAAATGTTACTGGATTTCATTTTCCCAGTTGATAAGTAAGAATTGACGGAGTTTTGTTCAACAGTTTGTTTCTATGATATCTTTCCCTGTGGCCATAAAATGAAGACTGATACAAATGTAATTACCTTGGCATTAAATTTGGCTACAAAGTCAAAGTGTTTCTTCAGATCAGTGGCTAAAATTGCTTCGATGACAAGGAAACGGAAGTGCTTGAATTCTACATGGTCAAGGTTAACTAGAAAGTTATACTCTGGCCGGGACATGAAAAGATTCCAAGCTGCAGCTGCGTGATGATTCTCCAGAACTGAACGATCATTGTATAGCACCGCCTGGGCAAGAGTAGGAGAGTAAGAGTTCAAGAGATCAGTGGGTAAGTTTAAAAAAGAATCACAAAAATAAAGGAGAATATGCAATGCTTCTGAAATAGCTTTTTTTGTTTGTTTTTCGAGGAAAAGCAAAAAAAAAAAATTGTGTTTTGAGTGCTGGTTATTAAGAATCATTTACTACTGCGTCTTGACTGCTGATTCCTTTTCTTGGTTAAATATGCTTTTCAGTCATGTTAAGTTCTTTTCCTTGAAACTTTTGCCCAAATAATCACAAGTGAGGGGTAGTAGCCTATCTTAATAGAGTCAGCATTCCGTAAAATGTTTTTCTTTTTTTAGATTTCTTTGCAGGGCACAGGAATTTATTATATACATATATTTGTAAGTTTAAACAGACACGTATTTTAATACACATACATATATATAAATATACCAATTATCCCTATAAGGTAACTCAGTTACTTTCTGTATCAGGCAACAGAATTATTTCCTCTTAAATATATGCAACTCGTGAAGAGGAATGGAATCCCAGGGATGCCTCAACCCAAAACATTTTTACCCCATAATCAGCCATGGGAAATACCTAGTACTTAAAGATATATAGTAAACATACATCTGCTTGTTTTGGAAATCTCTAATAATGAGAAGTTTTGAGAAAAAAAAACAGAAATTGCCTTAAAAAAATGCTTGAACACTACTGTGAGAGATAGTGTATAAAGGGAAGAAACGGCATAGAATTGGGAAAGGCTAAGCACATAAATATCCAGGTTAAGGTGAGTAAGACAGACCTGCAGGAAAATCTGAAGAGTAAACCATGCTGGCAAAAGGATTTCCCCATCTTTTTTTTTTTTTTTTTTTTTTGAGAGAGAGAGAGAGAGAGAGAGAGAGAGAGAGAGAGATTGATTGATTTTAATATTTATTTTTTAGTTTTCGGCAGACATAACATCTTTGTTTGTATGTGGTGCTGAGGATCGAACCCAGGCTGCACACATACTAGGCGAGCGCGCTACTGCTTGAGCCACATCCCCAGCCCCAAGGATTTCCCCATCTTTAGGGAAACTAATTCTGGTGTATGAAGGGTATGCGGAAAGAAGATAAAGTAGGTAGTTGGGGGAAAAACATGGTTGTTCTTATATATAGATTCAAGAAAAATCATGGAATAGTCCAGAAAAACTATTGGGGAAATGGATGAGAGTCGATAAAAGACAAAAGGCAAACAAGGAAACACAGGATTAGACTGGCCTCTAGCTCCTCTTGGAGGCACAGAGGGCCTCAGGATGTTTGGTAACTTGAGTCAATTGTTTATAAATAGAGGGGAAAATGATTGGGTTTAATTGTATAAGTAGAGATGCCTAGATATTTAGTGATTAATTTTTGACTCAAACTTAAACACACCAAGATGACTTTCTCATGCTATTCATTTTTGCAATCTATGCTTAGGTTAAAAAAAAATTCCTTCAAACAAATGGAATAAACTGATCTGAAATTCCTACCAGCCAGTTGATAGGCCTTAAGAATTCACAATTGTTATCATGAATATATTTCCAAGGACTAAGATTTGTATACAAAGAGGCCTTACATTCTTAAAAGTTCAAGAAGATTTGGTTTCTCTAATCTTTTCAGAAAGGGGCATTTGCATAGGTTGCCTTTTGTTGTTGTTGAAGAGGTTCATTAGCATGGATTCAACTAGATTTTTCTTCAGAAGAAGAAAACTAGAAAGGATTCTTATGCATAATAAAGTTATGTACCACCATGAAGACTTTGGAACAATGATTGTGTGTGTGTGTGTGTGAATATCTTGGAACAATGACTTTTTTTTTCAAAATCAGTATGATCTTTAAGAATTTTATCCTATGAATAAGTATAATTTGATTATGTTTACTTGGTGTAAGCCAAATGTATAAAATTAATTTTCTTCAGAGAAATCTCTACACTGGATTAGCTCTCCTAATCAAAATCTAAAGATTTACCTGAGGGGCACTAGTGGCCACCAGGAAAGCATTAGTCCTTCCAGGGTGATCATAATCGTGCATGGCTGCAGCAACATACAGTGCCATGAGCTCTAAGGCAGGAATATTCCCCGACAGACATCCATACTTATCATCTGGCACACTATACATTTTTGAAAATACATATCCCATATGTCCATGTGTAAATCCACTGTCAGAATCTGAGAAGAGAAAATTAAAGTAATAGAAATTTTTAAAACCTATGAAACTGAAAATATTCGTTTTGACTTCCTTATTATAAAACCATGTGTTCCTATCTGGCACAAGGGAGCGCAGAGGTGCTGGATACATACCTGAATCACTTGCTGATCCGTGATCATTAATCACAGTTGAGAGGCCTGGAATAGGTTGGGTAGTAAGATACCAAACAGCATGTAAGACATCAGTGGCATGGACTCTGTTGTGATCTGTAACCAATGAAAAGGAACTGTCATCGACTGGTGAACTTTTGGGACCAAGGACTAATAGTGCCATCTACTGGATAAACAGCTTGGTCCTAGCTTAACATCCCAGTGAATGCCTGCTATACTCTCTCAAATCTTTTTGATTACTCTTCCACAACTCCCTAGTATGCTTTTTAATAAGAAAAAACAATACTCATTGCATCCAGTATGCATGATATTCAAAATGGAAAAATTTGTATCTAGAGTCTAGCAGAAACCTACTACACGAAACTTACTACAGGAAACATCTGTAGTGTTTTCTTTTCATCCTCTGTGTGAGGCCATGCAGAGGGCCAGAGCAAAAGAAAGAGCCTTGATAGACTTTAAGCAGCAATTCATCTCTGACAAATGGAAACCCAGATTTAATCTGTGAATAGAATGAGGGTTTCAATTATTTTCCTATATTTCTGGCAACACTTAAGTATCTGTCTTTAAGTGATGACATACTGCTAAATCATAGGTAAACACCCCAGGAATTAAATCCAGGGGCCTGGGTTTGGGCTTGAGAAGATCTCCCCAGGAGAGCTTTCCTAGAGATGGCCTCCCCAGACTACCAAGAAGGAAAGAACAAAACCTGTGCCCTTGTGTCACTGCTGGATGTGAACATTGGTATTTTATAGTCATCCAAGAGCAGTTTTATTAAGACTAGAGCCCCTGTACCTGAACATAGACTATCTTCAATGATACAAGCCCATTACATTTATAGATAACTTACAGATAAGACAATTACTATCAGTTTATGTCTGTACCTATGCCTGTGCAGAGTTGATCATACTAGAATTTTCTGGATTTGGGACAGATATGGATTTGTCTTCTGCTCTGATATTTGTTACCCACATTATATGGGGTAAGTTACTCAAAATTCATTTTCTTATCCTGAAAACAAGATAGATTTTAAAGATCTCATTTTCTTTTCTTAAAAAAATATGGGGATAATAGTGCCAATTTCATCATACAGTTCTGAGAAGCACAGAAGGGACTATGTGTTAACGTGCCAATGCACAGTAAGCTACCAATTAATGATAAATATTATTCCCATACAAAATGTTTTTGACATAGAACAAGACAGCAAACTGCACGTTCACTGGTTTTCTCCCACAATTAATGATAGATTTGTAAAAACAAAACAAAAAGACAAAGAATTGAATTGCTCAAATAATAGCTGTTCTAAGTGCTTGTGGAAGTAGGAAGCTGTTATGATCTGGTAGAGGAAGAATGTCACTTGGGAGAGAGGGTGCCACTGGTGGGAGCAAACTTCTCAATTTCCTTTCCTGTTGCAACTGAAGAGATGACTGCAGGCAAGGTGGTACCATTCCTGCTGTGAGTCATACAGCCTGTGCATGAGCCCAGCATTGCAAGGGAGGATAGGAACAGCATAGGCAGAGCCTTCTGGGTCATACTGCCCCCTCTCCTGTCCTGTCTACCTCAAGGGCCAGGCCTGGAAGATTTCATGGGTCATTTTTACAAAATTTTGATGAACAAACAATCGCATCTTAATGGTTTGCTTCTGTAAGTGTAAAGAGAAGGAAAGCTGCCAATCTCATTTTATGAGACCAGGTACAGCATATGAGAAAAAAAAAAAAGGAGGATTCCTTTTGTTTTCTGAGAATAGGTCCAAAAGTAGTAAATGAAACAACAGCTTACCAAATCTGACTGCTTAAATACACATGTCTAGTTATATATGCATATGTCTAGGAGGATTACTCTGTTTTCAATCATGTAAGCAGAATGGAAAACCATCTGCCTTGTCAGCAGTTAATGACATGTTTGCCAAACAAATATTTACTTTGCTATGTACTATGTCCAAGTATTATGCCCAAGTGCTTGTATCTCTATTGCCTTTGCATTAACTCTCTGGTGACCCAGCTCAGAAGCAAGAGCACCTAGGAAAAAAGCTAGCCAAGTCAACCTAAGACATTGAGAGGTTTTCATATAATATATGAATGTGCTCAAAGGATTATTTTTATTTGTTCTGGCCACAGCCAGGAACTGAAAGTGATTTAAAAAAAGATTATTAGGACTATTTTTATTTCACCCTTTTTATCATCCTTATCATTTAATTTCTGCATTTTGGATCAACCCCTAAAATTCTAGTAATTCCCACACCTATGTGGCAAGATGCCCTCCCTCCTTGACAAACACACAAGTACACACTAACATGTAATACATATCCTGCCTCCTTTCTAGAGTTGGCCACCTCCCTCTTCTACCTTGATATTTTTCAACTTCCTCCATAAACTAAAAAGCAGAATTGACCTGAACTGTTGGAGGGGTTGGGGTTGTATGTCAATTTTATAGATTTTAGAACCAAGTTTATAGATTTTTTAACTTAAAATTTTATCTATGCTTCTATGTACCATTAAAAAAAAGGAAAGTAGTAAAGAATAGAAACAACATTTTTTAAAATTTTTTATTTTTTGCAGTACTATGGGATTGAACCCAGGGGTGCTCTACCATTCAGTTACATCCCCAGCCCTTTTTATTTTGCAACTGGGTCTTGCTAGGTTGTGGAGACTGGCCTCAAACTTGTGATCTTTCTGCCTTGGCCTCCTGAGTAGCTGCAATTACAGGTGTGCACCACCATCCCTGGCTGAAAGCTCACTTACAGCAGTTTTTTTTTTTTTCCCCCACTTTGGAATGTATCTATACTGTAATAGTTTTGCCCTTCCAGTTTGTTTCATGTCACCTCAGCATCTAACTGATCAGTGGGTCCTTCACTTGTGGCTGAACTGAACTAACACAGGCCGACTCTGCTCTCACTACTGACATTAATAGCTCCATGACCATAGGCACTTCTGAGCCATTCCATTCTCTACACTTCTCAAACTGGAACAATAAAAATGAGAAGATTCAACAAAGAAAAAAATCTATTATAGAGAGGAAAGTCTTTGCAATCAGAAAAAGCATCCTAAAACAAACAAACAACAACAAAAATCCCCAAACCTTTGGATCTTTGAAGGGGCATGACTTGATGATTATCTTCTTTAGTAGCCAAAATGCCCAGGTGAAAAGGATTATGAATATTACCAAATATTATTATTATTTACCTCCCTGTACAAATGAGTATCAACCATGCTTCACTTGTGCTAATAGTTTATGCTAAAAGATGTGAAAAATTACATTTATATCAGTGAGTTGACTATATTTATTGCTTTCTCCAGTGCCACTTCATAGTTTTTCTTCCCTATTTCCTTCTCATATCTGCTTCCAGATTATTCAATTTTTAGTCAAAATTTAAGTAAAAGCATTTACACTTTCCCTTGTCTCTTGAAAATTTTAAAAGGTGTACTTAGCATTATTATAAAAAATCAGTTTCTAATAAAATTTTCATTAATTATCCTATTACAGTGAACACATTTCTATTTTAACTTTGGTTCCTAGTTTTTTATTATTTATGGATTTATTTAAATAGAGCCATGATAAACATATTTAATAGCAAATGTTAAAATAATTAGCTAAAGAGCAAATTTTTGTATGTGCTAATTATAACAAATACGTAAATTCTTATTAAATACCATATTAGTCTTAAAGTACAACCGCAGTCCATAAAAGTGATCACCAATCAAAAGCTTTCCTGAGAAATGTAAATAAATTTCTTTATAAAAAGTGTCTGGGACCTCTACAGCACAAGTAGGTTTATTCTAGCAATGTCTTTTGACACAGAATGCAGAACTCTCTATCACATAAAAAAAAATTACTTTGTAGCACATAAAAGTACAATAATAAAATTAAACTGAATAATAGACTACAGAATCTGAAAATTTCTTGTACTTGAATACTGGCCATTCTTCACTATCATTTAATGATACATGACTTAGAGAAAAACTGGGAGTTATTTTATCTGTGGAGTCTAATATCAATTCAGACTCAATAAAACTTGGCCAAGACTAATAGTATCACTAACCTGTATTTGAAAATACAACATTCATTTAAAAATTCAGTCTGTTGACTAGCTGTTCTTAGTGCTTTCAGTGGCTTCCTTTCTGTAAAAGTTTATTTACATAACTCCTTGACTTTAAGAAATCACTAACAGTTATGTCAATCACTGGCATCCAACCCGGGTGAGCCTTGGGGAAACTGTACTAAGAAAGGTTTATCTCAAGATGCCTTCAAACAATCCTCTCTCATCATTCTCTTTCAACTTCCACAGACTCATCAGCCAGACTTTCTCAAGGGGCCTGGTGTTGTTAAGCTCCTCTTTCTTCTACTCCACTATCCTACATTTTCTGCATTAGTTGCTAATGATTCAATATACTATCACCCACAGCAAATTTGACAGCATTATTCCACAAACCATTTATACTTACAAGGAATATCCCTGTATCCAATTTCCAAAGCATGAAAATAATTCATAAATTCTCTAATTGGAATTTTAAAAGCTTCAAAGAGACCCATATCTTCAAAAAGTCTGTATGATACCTGTAGAACAGAAAGACAAAACCTTGCAAAACATCCCTCAGTGAGTAAGACTTAAGGAGAACAAAGCGTGCATTCCATCAACCATATTAATTTATTACCAATAGAGAAACCACCTGGGAATAATAAATCAAGTTCACATGGAGGACTTTTATGTGCTGAGCCCTTGTAGTTCCTTACAACAAGGGATATGTCACCTAGATTTAAGAGCAAAGACTATGCATACATCCAAAAACCTTCAAAGATCCCTAGTATACACTAAAGTAATGCACTAAGCCAATAAAGTGAGTGGATACTGGTAAACAGGAAATGATGCATACTAAGAGGCTGATTGTATAATGCACACAGTAAGAACTAAAGGGTGAGATAAGCTTTAACTTTGGTGAATTATATTTAATAATGATAATGATGATGATAATAATAATAAGCATCAGCAGAAAGCTTTTCAGAGATAAAGCATTCACAGTTGTGCCCTGGTGAAGAATAAAGGGAAAGAATTACAGGGGAGAACAAAAGGGTAGCTTTGATTAATACACGTGGAGGGAAATAATTTATTATATAATTCATTATGGAAAACGGAGTGTAGCTCTTTCACTGATCTTTTCTCTTTGTTCTTCAAATATCTATTTTCCTTGCAGTTGTTTTCACAGTTCTGAGGACTCAAATCAAGTAAATACCTTTGGAAATAACTAGTGCATATGACATGCAAAAGAGAGAGAAAGAAAAAAAAAACTAATATGAAGTAGAGGTGGCAATGAAGACACACATAGTCATTTATGTGGCAGAATGGAGGACAGAACCATCCCAAATGGCCTTACTTTTTGACTCGAAGTCCTAGTATGGGACAATTTAGGACATGTTCAGAAAGAATTATTCATTCTTTTTATTATCTACAGTCCTTCTTAAAATTCGTTTGAGATATTACTTCTAAATCTTCAATATATTACTTCATGTTAAATTTTTTCTTACTGTAAGTATGTCTATTCAAATTCACTACTATTCTTTTAATTGTATATTCAGTAGTTATGAATCCTATACATTATACCTGTATATATACATATACACAAACACTATAAAATATGTATAAATATATATTTCCAATATATATTTATTGAATGCCTATTATATGCCAATTTTCTATGCCTGTAGTATATATGTATGTGATATTAACATGCAAAATGCATAAACATATATGTATAAACATTTAAATTCACATACATACACAAATAAAGATCTCCTCTTTCTTGGAGCTTATAGCCTAGCAGAGGAGGACAGGAAGCAATAGACATAACAAATATGTTATTACCGTGTCAGAAAGTGGCAAGTCACATGAAGAAAAGAAAAAGAGTAGGTATGGAGAACTGGGAAGGCAGAACAGGTGCATTCAAATATGGTGCTTAGACTGGGCAGAATCACATTCACAAATTGCCTTTTGAGCAAAGAATTGAAGGAGGTGTGGAGTGAGACACATGGATACTTGAGAAAAGTTTTTTCTATGTAAAGCGTCAGTACAAAGACCCGGAGGTATGCTCACTAGACCCAAGAAACAGTAAGCAGGTTGATGTGCCCAAAACACAGAAACCGAGGACAGGAATAAAATAGAAGTCCTGTAGGGCGAGACTGGGGCAGGGACCGTCTTAGTGATTTACAGCCAGATAAACCCAGGTAAGCACTTTTAATAAGTGAGGCAAGGAGTTGCCAAAGAGACTGGAGCAGTGAAAAGACTTGTCTTATTTTTAAAAGGAACACCCTGCCTGCATTTGAGGAAAAGATTGGATGTTACTGTATATGATCTTCAACTCAATTTCTGCTGACTTTTCTTCACTCTGAATGGCAAGGACATTTAACTTTTTCCCTTTTATGTGCAACAACTCTACCTCCTTTCTTTAAAAATGCAGCAACAGTTTTATTGTACAATATTCCAAGCAATTTCTTCTTTTAGTGATCTCTTCTCCACTACTGCTTAGATGATAATGTTCTTTATTTATGAGTTCAGAATTAACATATGTAAAATTATGAATCGTTGTTTTTAACAGCTTGTCAGTGAAAATTCTTCTGTTTTAAAATCACACTTTAAAATATCCTTGTCTTAATTTTTCATTTTATCTTTCAAATGTTTTTTTTGTTTATAAGCACCTAAGGAATTTAACTTGCATGTGACTTCAATAGTAATAGCAGCAATAGTAGCAGCAATAGCTACACACACACATACACACACACACACACAACATTAAATGAGGTGCTTGCTTTAAGGAGTTCATACAAATAATTATTTACGTTAAATCAATCATCTAGCACTCATTACTAATATCTGAAAGCAGAGAAAAATAAGGCACAGAAAGGATGAGTGACTTGTCCAAGATTACATGGCTGAAAGATAAGACCCAGATTTCAAACCACACATTTTGGTTTGAGATTTTGTACTCTTAACTGCTTCAAATCCTACCCCCCAACCCACTGCCCTCATACTGGGAAACCAACACTGTTAGAATTGCAAATTAAAGTTTCCTACCGTTCCCTTTAAACATTTCAAAGATAAAATGAAAAATTAAGACCAGAGGATATTTTAAAGTATGATTTTAAAACAGGAGAATTTTCAGCAACAAATTGCTAAAAACAACCATTCATAATTTTATATATGGTAATTCCAAACTCATAAATAAAGAACATTATTGAATGGGTAAATATTGGTAACTGAAAAGAGTAAACTCAATTTCAAAATCTGAAAGATGTCCTTTTAAATTTGTTAGAATAAACATGATAATCTTCATCAAAAGAGAAGCAGTGTATTAAGGCTGAGAAGTTGTTTCCATTGCACACATCTCCTTAAAAATCTTTTGAAGTGAGACTTTCTGTGTGTAGTCTCAGCCAAAAGGTGATTCTTTGGAATGTCCATGTTAATTCATTTCAGCTGTCCGTACATCACACTAGTGGGGGCGGGGAGGGAGGAAGATGGAAAGAAGAAAAAGAAGAAGCGTTTCCTGTAATCAAAGTTTCATGATTTTTGTACTTGTAAACTCAGGAAAAAAAAAAAAAAACATAAAGTTCTACTTAGCAAGGCAAAGGAATCTGCACTTTCTCAAAGTTCAGTGTTTTTGCAAACTGGGACACTAGTAACTGATGTAAATTCTGATAAAAAGATACATTAATGAATTTTATTGAAATCTACATGTTAATTATCCGGAATCTTTCTAATCTCTAGTGGTATCTTTGACACTTGAAAACTACTTTGTCAGGGTGGCGGGGAGCTCAGTGGTAAAGCATGTGCTTAGTTATGTGCAAGACCTTCAGCACTGTAAAAAAAGGAAAGCACTTGAACAATATTGGTCAAGTTCAAACCTCCTATGTCCCCAGCTCTGAGAACTTTAAGCACCTGCACTGATGTTCAGTATGCTGTCACAAATGTTATAAAACTGACTGCTGTAATAACCATTTGTCTACTTGTCAAACTCCCACTTTGGAGAATTTGAAGATATAATAAATTAATATGTTTTACAAGTTGCTGAGAAAAACCTGAATGTAAAAGAGCCTGAGGCTCTGATATGAATAAACCTACATATTTACTCTATGACTCTGAAACATCCTCTTTTAAGCCTTAGTTTCTTCTTCTTCTGTAAAATAGAGATTAAAAAAAAAAAATCCTGCACCAATTTGATGATGATTCAAGAGTTTGTAACATACATATCAAACACCAAATGATGCAAATGTTGTCTCCATAGCTGGGAACACAATCTCCAGCAAAAAAGAGAAAGATGACTTCTTGCACCTCTGCCATACCTTGTGGCAACATTATAGGAAGGACCCCTCACTCAGGGTTGGAACTGCAATCGGTTTCAGAAAATGGCATACAAAATGTCCTGGGAGTTATAAGGCTACAGTAGACCAGATGAAAAAGCTGTCCTTGAACCTGACCTCAAGATAAAGGAGCACAGAAGACATTGCTGAGCACTCAGGAGAAAGGAAATTGATGGAAGGGACATACAACTCCCAGGAAAAGCCAAGGACTGCTATGAAGTCCCCGACACCTTCACGGTCAGGGTCCAGCAGAAGCCACAGCTGCACACTGCATAGACTGGAATAATTTTGAGTTTCTAGTCCATCTATGAGTCCAGCACACCCCTTCTGCATGCACCTAATTGATCTGCCATTATTTTGACACCTCTTCCCTACTAGATTGTGAATTCCATCAGGGCAAGGAAAAGTTTCTCTTCCTGATGACTAGATTAGTTCTCTGTACAAAGTGTGTGTATATATATATATATCTATGTTGATATATATATATATATATTATATATATATACATACTATATATATATATTAAATAAGCAATAAGCTGATAATATATATACATATATATATATATATGTATATATATTAAATAAGCTGATAAATTACTGAATCATGCCCTTTCATTGTGTATATTTTGGTAGGTATTTGATACTTCAGCAAATTCATTACTTTATTTTGGTTTTTTGAAACAAACCTGTCCAAATTCTTAATTTCTGTGTGTTTTCTTTCTCCCTCAGCAAAACAAACATTTATTTGGGAAACTTCAAAAGTAGTATACCTTAAAGGAAACAATACTAAAATATTTGTTATACAATAACATTACACCTTCAATATTTCTTGTGATAAAGGTGTTTTTGATGTTCAAATACAGAGAACTACATTTGATCTATTTCTTACAACACAGAAACATATTTCTGTACAATATCTTATTTTTGATGAGAACTAACCAGTGTAATATTAAGAAGTTAAAAAATAGTTACAAAAAGTAATCATAGAAAATAAATAAGTATTTGTCAATAGATATTTTCTTTTCTTTCTTTTTTTTGAGAGAGAGAACTTTTTAATATTTATTTTTTAGTTTTTTGGTGGACACAACATCTTTATTTTTTATTTTTATGTGGTGCTAAGGTTTAAACCCAGTGCCCTATGCATGCCAGGTGAGCATGTTACCACTTGAGCCACATCCCCAGCCCTCAATAGATATTTTCTTTGAGGGCTTGATCATCTATTATTTTGCTTAATTCTATGAATTTTATCAATGTGTCCATCTTGCTTATGATTCCCCAACCTCCTTCCCCTAATTCATCTTTAAAAGGTACATAAAACTTTAATTGTAGAATATGGTATTCTGCTCAATGAAAGTTCCAATTTCTTTTGTTAGCCCACTGCCATAGACACAACAGATTGTGGTGTCCTCAAACTTCCTTTGTCAGAGCTGGGTGCTGTGGCATATCCCAGCAGCTGGAGAGATTGAGGTAGGAGAACTGAAAGTTCAAGTCAGCCTCAGCAACTCATGAGCCCCTCTCTCTAAATAAAATATAAACAAACAGGTTGGGAATGTGACTCAGTGATTAAGCACACTTGAGTTCAATCCCTGGTACCAGAAAAAACAAACCAACAAACAGAAATACTTCCTTTGTCCATATAATTCCTACCCACAGATGTCAAGAAAATACAATGCTTTCAGCAACTGAAGGATTGTGTGGCTGATATTCAAAGTCATATGTGTGAATAAATAATCTTACCTGACTAAGGATACGGCCACATTTTCTTCCTATATTTTCCACTAAATCAAAAATTGGAAAATTCCAACTATTGAGCTGCTCCATAATTGAGTCCAAGTTCTCCATGACTAGAGGTTCAGGAGCAAGAATTGGTTTGTCCTATAATGAAGGTTAAAATATTTTAATGATATGAAGATTTCTACAACACAATTCATGCTTTGGTGAATCTCATTAACAACTGAGTTATCTGAAATAACTGGCCTAAAACTTCACAGTGAATCTTAAAGACAACAATGACAAATCAAGATGGGTAAAACACTAGCCCCAGAGTGAAGAGAAAAGCATCTAATGCGGTTTTGGACTGTGAATCTTATATTGTGAGGTGCCTGCCTGTCCCTGCTCCATATCACACCTGCAAAACATGGATGATTCTTCCACAAGTCAAAGCAATTGCTTTTGTGTCTACTGCAAGGTTCTTTGATAAAGATTCAATGACTTCAGAATACTCTGAAATTTTATATAAACATATCTCTTTCTACACTTGTATAAATTTTTATGGGATAAGGGTTGCTGGCTTATACTGGACTCTCAAAAGAAACCCATGAGTGGGGAGGGGGCACTAATCACCCCGATTTTAATTAATTGAATATACATAGCAATGCTTCAAATCAGCATTAATCCTGTAGAATACCAATCCCTGCATTTTTAAAGTATTTTAATTTAAATATGTGACCTACTATTTGCTGAGGAAATGCACTATATAAATGAAAAGACATTTTGTGACTTGACCCTATTCAGGGAAGTCATAAGCATACATTTACTGCAGTCTCCCCAAGAAAAGAAATATAAGGAAAATGCTATTTTACCTGAAAATTTGACTCTAAAATATAAGTGGTAAATATAGGGAAAAAATGATGATAATGTGACAACCAATTATTTTCTAGCATTTGCTGTCTCCCACAAATTAATCTGACTCAAATATGCTTCCAACCTTCTTATATAAATCTCTTCAAACACACAAAATAAGTCATCATTTAAGGATCTCTTAGCAAGTGTCAATATAAATCTTCCTTACTAGAACAAGGAAAATAAATAGCAGCTTTCTTCTAAAATCAAGGAGGTGCTAAAGAAAAAAAAAAAAAAAAAAAAAAAAAAAAAAACAGCAGATGTACTAAGAAAATCTCTTTCTGTATTTCCTCATTTCTTTATAGAATATTTAACTGAATGACATAATTCATTTTTCCTGTGCTGATTTAGACTACTTGATTGGGTATGGAATCTCTAGAATTATTTATAAAGATAAATGCTTTGCACTTTTTACCACCAAATATTACAACCATGAAGAGATCGATAGGCTCAGCTGGAGAAATTGTACTGATACAGAAGGGTAGGGCCACAACATGTGGGGTCCAAATGAGATGCATCTATAAATCTAATGATTCAGGGAACTATTTCTAAGCCAATCTCCTCTGTAACTGAAGCCAGTTTCTCAAGTAAATGGATGAGTTGAGTGATAAGGAGCTACCAGGAATATCATGGCCTCTGGAGTGTAGGTGCCACAAGCTGATGTTTTCCTCAGTGGCTCTGTTGGGCATTCGGCCTCATCTTCATTCTGTACAATGTCGCTGCTGTCACTGTTGTTATTGGTTTCATAATCAGAGGTAACTTGGGCAGTGTCATCTGCAGTGAAAAGAGAACAGCTTACCATGGGACCTGCAATGGGGGAAGAGGTCTCATGTAACAAAATTTCCTAAGATTCATCTCCATATGCCATAACATTTAGGGGAATATTATTTTCAGGTACTCACATACCAGGATCATAAAGTAAGAAAAGGACAGGTTTTAACCAAATAAAATAGATAGGAAATATAATCTGTGATTTATGTGACATTCAATAATCCCTCAATAATATTTTTTAGATTAGTACTTTGTATTTTTAAAAAATCCTCTGACTTTATATTTCAGTTTCCTCTTTTTTTTTTCTCCCAATACAGTAAACCACTAAGTAGCTAACTGATACACTAATTCTAGAATGGTGACTCAGGTGGGAGAAATTGAGCTGCACGCCTAGGAATGGTGGATAGAGCATGAAGCAACGGTATGTGGTTAGGCGCATGGCAGACCCTATGTATCCAATCTTATTTCTTAGGAGGCTTTGGCTTCCTTCCTCCACTGCCACAAACTGTACTGATAGAATGACTAACCAGAAAATACCAAGTATCTAGAGGACGTGCTCCTGGGGCAAAGAGACCAATAATTTTCTAGGAGCTGAATGAAGTTTACTAAGTGCTTGCTACGTGCTAGGTACCGCTCATAGCATTTGATTTGTACAAACACATTTAATTTTCTCAACAATCCCATGGGGCAAGTATAGGATTGTATTATTATTATCTCTGCTTTTCAGATATGAATCAGAGGAACAGAAAAAATTAGTAAATTGCTTACGCTCACAGTCAATAAATTCTGCCACTAGAATTTGAGTTCGGGAAATCTGATTCTATATAGAGTTTATATACTTGGTTTTTGATTAAGTCTAGCTTTGGTTTCTTTTGTGATTTCCCTGGTCTATAAAATCTCTGTCTTCCCCAAAATCACAAAGATTTGTTCCTGTTTTATTCCTGAAGCTTTATCATTTTCAGCTTTTAAGTTTAGGTCTGTGCTCCACTTAAAAAATATTTTTATATGGTGTGAGATAAAAGGTAAAGTTCATTTTCCTCCCAAACACATTTGGATTGCTTGACATCTTTGTAGAAAAATCAAATGACCATGCAGGTATGGGTCTAATTTGATGATTTTTGGTTTAGTCCATTTGATCTGCTTGCTGACTCTTGGGTCAGTACCACACTGTCTTGATGACTGTAGCTTAAGTCTTGAAGTCAAGGGAAATGTACCTCCCTTTTGTTCTCCTTTGTCAAGATTGCTTTATGTATTCTAGGTTTGCTGTGTGTCTTTATACATATACTAATGGATTTTTCTTAAATTGCAAGTGAATAATGACTGTTGTTCTAGAGCCTGAACTAGTCAGAAATATATTTACAGAATTTTCCCAAGGACTCATCTTTCTTCTTTCCCATGCATCTGCTTTCATGTTAAAATTAGATACTGTATGAATCTTGTCTTAAAATAAAAAAATCAAAAGGGCTGGGCATGTGGCTGAGTGACGAAGTTCCCCTGGGTTCAATCCCTGGTACTAAAAAAGAAAACTTAGGTACAGTATGAAAATGTAATTGACAAAGTTCAATTCCAGAATCTATAGAAAAAATGAAGAAGCCACATTCAAGAGATCACAAAGGTGAAATATTTCCCTTATTCTATCAGCCCCCAGTAGAATTAGAGGAAGATCAGGAACACACGTAAAGTATTCTGAGTCCTCATAGTGCTCCACAAGCACTTCACAGAGAATTTTCCACTGGTTTCTCCTTGCCTATGCCTCTTCCCCTTTGTATATAGCACAATATTATCATAGAAAAATTACATCACTCAATATTTATTGAGTGGCTACCAAGAAATGCTGGAACAGATAGCTGATAATTATGAGATAGCTTTATTACCCTAAAGTCTACAATTCATAGACATTTCCAACTTTGTGTACTTTTAGGACTGTATGAACAAAAATAAAAAATAATCATTATAGTAATTACCAGCAAACACTAACTACTTATGGTGAACCAGATGCTATAATAAGTAATAAATGTTTCATCTCCTTTAATTAATTTCTTAGTCCTCTGTGGTAGGTACTATTGGTATTCTAGTATTCTGCAGTTAAGGAACTAGATCTAGATTATCAGCAAGCAGGTTGCAGAATCGGGGTATGAACCAGGCTGCAATACCCGTCTTCTTATCCTCTCCATAATACCTCCTCAAGGAAAACCCACTTTAAGTTTACAGTGAGAAAAGGAGGGTAATTTCTCAGGGTCTGCGATGGTATTCTCTAAAGAGAACCTACAGTGAATGACTCTCCAATGTACAAAGCAGGATAAACAAAATAGCATTTTTTATGTAGTTTTAATTACTATGTAAAACAGAATCTCACTTAAAAAAAAAAACACACACACAATTTGTATAGCAACATTATGGACAGCTTAGCACCAAAACTTTACCATAATTAAATCTGTATAGTAGAGTTATGAATAATTTTGATTTTCTTTCTTGTCTTTTTAAATTTACAAATAAAAAAATCAGGAAAATGGGTTATCTTTTGGATCAGAAAAAGAAATGAAGTAAGATAATTCCCATTTTGTGGAAAAGGATCCAAAACGATGATTTACCTGTTCTGCTTGGTGTCAGAGTGGTTGTGCCAGCTCTCTCCAGGGGCCCATCAGCAGGATTCCCTTGGGAATATGGTCTGCCACAGCTGAGAAATATTGGAACAGTCATAAGTATATATTTCTCTTTTCAAAATACCAAACATATACACAATCTTTGTGTACACTGAGATAGACACAGGGCTGAGGATATAGCTCAGTGGCAGAGCTCTTACCTAGTATGTTCTAGGCCTTGGCTTTAATCCCCAGTACCACAGAACAAAAGACAGACATCTACAATAATATTTCTTTACTTTTACTTATTTGTCATGGAAAAATTCATTTTGTTTTATACATGGATGCTAACAGGCAGTCTACTGCTTTTGTTTTTGTGAGAGAATAATAAACAGAGGGATTAGAAATTTTATCTGCCTCCCATTCTCCTTCTCTCTACAGTCTAGACCATATTTGAGGTAAAACTGTGGTAAAATTTTGTCACATTATTTGGAGAAAACTGGGATAGGCTGCCAACTGTTTATAGCAGTGATTCTGGGGAGGCTGATTTGTATTTGGTCAAAAATATATTCTCCAATGGAATATCTTTGTACCTGCTTAAAAATTTCAGTATTAGATTTATTTTTACAGATACTTTAAGAAAGCATGTATTAATTTTTATTTTTGCCAAAAAAATGAAAGTGAATTCATTTTTAAGAACAATCGGTAACCTGTCTAGACTCTAAGGAAATGAACCAAGAGATAAACACTTTGGTGATGAGTGAATGTATGGTTGACTAGATGTGGTGCTGGTTGAGAAAGATGGACCAGGGCTGTACCATGTGGGTGACCAAGAACATCAAAAACACTTGGGAGGTGAATGGTGCCCCTCAGCAGAAGGCATTGAAGAATGTGGGATATACATTTTTCTTTTCTCAACAACTTTCTTGCTTTATTAGTTAAAAAGTAACTCCAAATGATTGGGCAGATGGGGTCCTCTCTTTTTCCTTTTGAGACACTTCATGATTAAATTTTAATTCTGAATTTTGCCACTAAGTTCTATTTTTCTATTTATAGAAAAGATGAAGAATATGATCTTCTATGGAAGACTCTTACCAAGAGTCTCAGAAGACTTTTTTTTGGTCTGTTAGTTATTTACAGATTAACCACTCAAATAAAAAGAAATGAGTGAGTTTATTGTTTAATATCTTAAATGTCTCATCATTTTCCCCCATTATGCATGTCTGTGGAATAAAGAAAAGCATTTTCTGGCTAGAGAATATCTTCATACTAAGTAAATTTACTGGTCAACCCTTGAATGTCAATAGAAAGCATTATATAAAAATCATATTTTTAAGGATGAAATCCTATCACTTTACTTTAGGGAATCAAAAGACAATGAGAGAATAAATAGAAAAAGGGAGTACATGCAACTGATGGATGGTCTTCAATTCTCAGATGCAGGTTGGTAGAAGGAGAGTTTATTAGTTTACAGATTTTTCATTGCAAGATAATACCTAAAAGTAATACTGAAATTAGAGTTCAAATATATCAGCTCCTGTGCCAAAAAATGGCTTGTTGCATAGACATTACAGCAGCCAAGAGACTGGGACTCAATGCCAAACCCTTCGAGTTCAGCAGGGGAAACCACAATAATTAGTCGTGTGTTTTTGGAGCTCTCTGTGCCTACATGGGTGGCTGCCTTGAAGGAAATAATAAAACCTGGTTTGAATTATAGATTTATAAAGCCCAAACAAATAAAACACACACTACTGGATTTATAAACATTACTGAACAAGTAGACAGTGAAATCCCCTTGTTTTTCTCTGAAACCTCTTTTATAAAAATCCCATTACATTCTTCCCGCCAAGATCACAAAAAAATAGGCTATGATGAGGAAAGCTCCATGGGTGGAAGGTCTTTCCTGAACATCTCTCTCCTTTCTTTAGGCAGCTTATTTCCCACAAGTTTGGAGTCCAGAGTGGGAGGGCTCCCTGGAAAAGCTGGAAGCAGATGTCCTCAATGCAGATTGCTCTAAGGGGCTCCATTGTGGTCCAGAGCATACCCACAAATCCTGCTTCTTCAGTTAGTCCTGTCTGACATTAGATTCCTGGGCAAGTATAGGGTGCTAGCCAATGAAACTGGCTTTGTGGTTAAAGTTCAGAACACAAGGGATAAAATAAAAATTGAGAGGTGTTCTTTTAGCACAACTTCTCAGAGCTTTGAATAAGATGATTCATGTTGAGGGTCTCCAACAGAGAAATATGCTGTGTCTCCTAGACATTCTATTACAGAACATGTGTTTTGGGGAAGTTAGTGTCCTTCAGAAATCATTTTATTAAAAGTGGCTGACAAAGAGAGGAAGGAACCATTTTAAGATGGCAGACTAAGTTTTCAACTCGGCCCCGACCCAAAGAACACACAAAACTGACTTCCTGTTAACAAATATTTGCAAAAAGTTAAGAAGTAAAAATAAAGATTATACATTCATTTAACTTCTAGAGTGCTTTAGTTTGAATCTATACTTTACATTTCAAAGTCCCATGTGTTAAAAGCTTGATCACTGCCGGTGGTAATACTGGAAGGAACTAGAACCACTAAGAGGTGGGATTGGGTAGGAAGTTAGGTCATTGGGGTGGGGTGTGCCCTAGAAGGGACTGGGACCTGAATCTCTTTCTCTGCCCCTGTTTCCCAGCCACCAGGAGATGAGCAGTTTCCTCTGCCCTCTGCTCTCTGCCATGATGTACTGCCATGCCACAAGCCATAAACCAACTAAAGTCAAGCAATCGTTGAACAAAACTTCTGAAACTGTGATCCAAACTAAACTTTTCCTCCTTTAAGTTAATTTATGTTAGGTATTCTGTCATAGAGATGGAAACTGACTAAGTCACAGAGTTTATGAACAAAATCTAGAAAATGGAACTTGTGAAACTTCTTATCAGTTGCTAGTTCTTAAGATGGAATATACTGATAAAATCTGGGTCTATGAGCCAATATTTGCTACTTGAAAACCAACATGTTACGAATTTATTCAAATTGTTCTCCTCATTAACCTTAGAAGTATCATTTTTGATGAAGGCATCCTTATGATTACACTTAAAGACTCAACTATTTTATATTTAAAAAATATTTAATGATTTAAGACCAATTATTGAAGTTGAAGCTATTAATGAAGAACAATAAAAATATATTAATCAGTAGGATTAATTTCTTAGTAATAATGTTGATAAAGTAATTACTTTGGCCATGTTAGACTCTCTTTTCTTATCCTCTACTAAATAATCTTTTATGATTCTTTTTCAACAAGACAGAGTGGTACAAACAATTGCTTAATAGCACTCAGAGAACTATTAGTGTCTAGTCGTAATTTTCCATACACTATTGATGCATTTTTAAAGTGCTAAAATCAGAAATGCAAACTGCAGACAAAATATCTTTAATATCAATGTAAAGTACTCCCATGAGAACAAGTAAAACACATTTCAACCCAGTGTCAGATGATATCAGATTAGCTGGTGTAATTTTTCAATTAAATATTTTATGCATGCTCCATCAATTGCAGACAAAATTATTATTATTTGGTAACAGAATTATTATGATTTTTGTAATCATTATTATTTGTAACAAAATAACAACAGATTATTTGGAGACATCTCCAAAGATTAACTGTGTGGAGTGCATGGAGTCTAAGCTTTCTATTAATAGAAAATCACTGAAACATTCAGTTTCTCTTCATGTCTATTAAATACAAATCATATCATCCTACACTTTCTTGTTCTTTCGGCAAACCTTCACCAAACTGTATAGATAGGTGGCATTCTGAGGAGGAAAACTGTCATTGATTTTATTATTGGACTTCAGTTAACACCACAAAATCCTTACCTGCTACATATAACAGGTGGAGTCAGGACCTGAGGGGACAGGTCAGGGGCACTCTGAGTACAGGTTAAGGCCCTGTGAGAACTTGGCCCTTGTTTGGCAGTTGTGTCAGCAGATTCTGGAAACTGCACTGTGGAAATTTTGCTGACAGGGCTGCTGGCTGGAGTCCCTTGGAGAGGCGAGGAGCAGGGCGATGAAAGAGGTGAAATTTTAGCGAGGGCACCTGAGAAAGAAAGTTATTAAGTCACTAAACAAATGTCTTTGAAATGCAAATGTGCAACTGTTGCACTTCACCCTGCTCCAGTAAACTCAAAACAGCCACGTGTAAACTCAGGCCACTGAGTTGGTCTCCCCATGCCACCATCTGGAGACAGTGTGTGTGGTTGGGGTGTCTCCACAGCATGAAATGAGAGTAATGAATCATCATGAAAAATTGGTGGCAATGTTGGCAAGTCCAGCTAAAGCCTTGGTGTCCTGGAGTAACTTCAGGACAGAAGGATATTTTTCCTCCCATTTTTGTTTCTTGTCATTTTGACTTGAAAACAACCGTTACACTTTTCTCCTGTGTTTGTTTGCTTTCTCTTAGGCTGAGAAGCTTTTAGCCGGGACAGATTTACTATTGTTTTCAACATTAAGCTCAGTGTGCTAGGCATGCAATTCTGAAAATAAAGGAGATAAATTTTCTGAGAAGCAATTAACCTTATTAACCATTTGTATTTTCAGCAAAACAGCAACTTTTTATGTGAAATAGTGCTTTGATTAAAATAATTCTTGAAGAAAACATTTAAACATCTAATGTGACCCATTTCATATCAAACACTAGACCTAAATCATAGATTTCAAATGTGAGTGTCTGACACACACACTCATGTGTTTTCTCTAGATTTTGAGAATTTTCCAGGATGCTGGCTTGGATTTGCAAGCATTGATGCTGGAGGAGGAGGATATTTTTTGAAGCTGCTCTCTCTGAACACAGAGAAGGTGGCCTATGCTTGGAATTGAAAAGAAAAAACCAAAACACCAAACATGTACCTTCCAGAGGACTACGTGCTTACTGCTTTTCGTGATTTTTATGGCTGAACATCCTGCTCTAGGGGGCATGAAATGGAATCATCCTGAGTTGTTCTCTATTTCTCACTGCTCCAGGGAAATTTACAGCCACGGACTTTACGTCATGTGTGTGTGGGGTTAACTGGCAGCTGGCTTAGAACAGGGTTTGTTTCCAAGATCCAGTTCCCTCAAAAGTTTGATTTGTCACACCCAATGGTTTTCTGCTCCACTGAAAGGAATATTAAGCTTGCTGAAGTGTTTTTGCAATTTATTTTTATATTTCTTCTTGGCACTATTATTTTTCTGTTTTGTTTTAAAAGATGAAAAATCTCATTTTTCCTTTGCTCAAGTGTGGGGAACCTCCTAGTCCTCTGCTTAACATTTATTTCCATTCTTCATTCTTATCAAACTTTTGCATTGATCCTGAACAAGTGAAACCTCTTAGACCAAAAGAGGTTAAAAAGCCTTGTCAGGGTCACAGTTCTAGGAAGTAGAGATATGCTGTGAGCCCAGCTATTCTGAGTAAAATGTGGTTCATTTTATTAGCTCAGGCTTCTATCTGTAACCATCCAAAGGAGAATAAAAATCCACCATCCACTTACCAGCATTTGTACTGATTTTTGTGACTTGGTTGATAGTTTATATTCTGATTCCTAGTTCAACTAGTAAGATTTAGCTATTTTAGCAAAGATACTGACTGACCTCAGGACCTTAATGCTTCATGGATTCCTGAATTGAAAGAAAATTCATTAAATTTTTAACTCAGAACTTCCCAACAAATATATCATCATTTACTGCCAGTGAGTTTGTCAGAGTGCTATGAAATAATTAATGGTTATAAATTAAAAGAAAAAAAAGAGAAAGGTTTTTGTATGAAAACTCCAGAATAAACTCAATTTTTAATATTCTAATATGATTGTTAAATTTTAAATTTATGAAATAAAGGAAATATATTTTTCACCAAGCTCTAAATCACCAAACTTTCCATTTCTCCACTGACATATCACATTATCATATTTACAAATGTACATACAAGTGGGCTCTGATAAAAAAAAAAAAAAAAAGAAAGAAAGGTTGAAAAAGGGTGGTCTGATTTATACTACGCGGAGGACTAAGACAGAAAATACAGATAATCTTAGAAAAGCCATGTAACCATAAAGGAGCTAAATCCTGGTATGGTGATATATAAAGGTTACCAAGGTCTCTGCACTGAATAAGCATCTCAACAATTCACTCACTTAACAAATACCTATTATGTGTCCTGTTCCAAGGATACAGTGGTAGAAAATGAAGCCCCTGCTCTCATGGAGCTCCCACTATCCAGGGACGCAGAAACAACAAAATAAAAAATCAATAAACAAGAAAGAAAAGGAAAAGGATGTAATTTCAAGTGATATGAAGAACCAGCAATATAGAGGGTAGAGAACAGAGGAGAGAAATGCTCTTTAGAGAAGACAGTCTGAAAAGACCTCTGTGGGTCATAAAATCTAAACACAGGCCTGCTGAAGTAAGGAAGATATTCAGACGGGAGTGTGGGGAAAGCATGTTCCAGAAAGAGGGACTCATCAGGGGGAGGGCAGAGGCTGTCAGCTTAGCACAAAGGAAGAAAAGGGGCAGGGAACATGAACACAGAGGGGCTGCTCTGCATGCCTGGTGGGGGCAGGGCCCTGGCAGTGTTTTAATTTGCTATGTCTTAAAAAAATAAACTCCTGATAGACCTTCTTTAGGCAGCCACTTAATTATTTTGATAGCAAATTATGAGTTTGGGCACAATTCTCTACCACTCCTACACCCCATGCCCCAGAATGGCAGTTCAAAGCCCATGGGACCATTCTCCATTTATGTCTCCACACATGGCTTTTCAGAAGGCAATTTATGTGAATGGTGATTTTTTTTTTCTTTGCTAATTTTTAGAAGTTGCCAGCTGACGGACTCAGACACATACATTTCACTCTTAAATACACATTTAAAATTCATATAACCATTAAGGTTCTTGGACCTTAGAACTTAACTAAATTTAAACCAATAAGCAGACTTTAAGACTCCTGGGATGAAATCTTAAATAAATCTGTAACAGAGGAGAACAAATTTACTTTTATAGTACTTTAGTTAACATGTTTTGAACTCTTTTAAAAGCATGGGTCTTGGCAACAACCCTAAGGAGCAAGGATATTTTATTTTGTAGGTGAAAAGATAAAGGTATAAAATTTACTTAAAATTTTAAAAACCCAGAGGATTAGGAATTCCACAGGAAAAAATATACACCCACCCACCCCCCACCCCCAAAGAGAAATGTACATACACATCAAGTATCCCTTACCTAAAATGCTAGGACTAGAAGAAGTGTTTTGGATTTCAGAATTTGGGGGATTTTTGAATATTTACATGGATGTTACCAGGTGAGTATCTCTAATCCAAAAATTCAAAATCTAAAATGCTCCAATTTGGATTGTTACATTAGGAATGTTTAACCTGTGATTGCTAAAATTTTTTTCTTTCTAGAAAAGAATAAATAAATGATTTTTGACACGGGAAGGGGATTCTCTCAGGAAATGGGAGAAATAACCTTCTTTTGCAAATCTTTGAAAACAGATTTCCTAAGATAATTCAAATGTAATCATGTCTAAAGTTACAGGGATATCATAACCCCTCTAGGTCTCATTTAATTGTATGTTGCACATTCACACAGATACAAACATTTGTGAAGTGCATTCTCTCAAATATATTTTTCTTCATCTTTTATATCACTCTTAGAAACTCCAGGAGTAAAAGGCATAGCTTCTGAAATGTAAGCCTTTGAATGATATAAATTTTCCTAATGTGAAATACTTAAAAATTATCTTAAAACAGAAAATTTAAAACTACAACAACAAAAATTGTCTAAAATAGTTACTCCTTTGAGTGAGTCTTTAATTCCTTGCTATTGAGAGCATGTGAAAATGTGGTCAAGACATAAGGAACTGTGGGTAATCAAAGGGAGAAGATAAACAGTACCGCAGGGGAATTCTTTAAGTGAATCCATCTGTTTTGTGCTACAAAACTCTCTCAGTTTAATTGAACAAGAAAGGAACCAGCCTGTCTGATAAATCCATGCCTCTTTTCCATGCCTACAGGAAATGACCAGTCCTAATATTTTTCCAAAACACAAAATGTAACTAAAGAATTGTTTCCTTTATTTCAAAATTTTTGTAGGAAAAACTTGGTCTTCTCTACCGGTGTAGAGATATCTGCACTCATTATGACAGGTCAAACTTGAAAGATGCAGCAACTACGGATTAGAGGAATTTGAAAAGCAGAATGACGTCATGGTAGCTTCCCATTGTCAGTGATTCACAGAAGAGGAGCAAGATTGAAAATGCAAATTGCATTTAAATCTCCTGCTTTATGCTTTAATCAAAGGACTCCTCTGTGATTTCATCCATTTATTTTATATTAGTGACTGCATAATAATTTCTTGTGTTTCAGCTACTTAAAATTAACATTGATTGACTGAGCTAGAGGACATATTGTTTACTTGATTTGTGCAAAGAACAGATTCATTAAGCCCTTCTGAAAACAGGTCATTTATCTTTTAGCTTGCTTGTGTTTTACTTCATGCTTGCTTTCCCTCCCCACCTCATTGCCCATTGCTCTAACACTTCCTCCTCAAACTCTCTTCACACATCATTGAATTACATTTGCTTATACGCTTTGCCCCATGAGGGGCTTTCCCCAGCCTCTTTCCACATAGTTCATTGAAAACCAGGTGACATCCTAGTAAACCACATCAAGCACAGCACTCCTCCTGACCACCCTCAACCCAGGCATGCTGTTCATGCTAGGACACAGGGGTTTCAAATCAGAAGGACCCACCTGACCTGGGAAAATTGCAACCTTGTTCCAGCACTGATTCTTGATAGATGTTTTTCTACCTTTTGGCAGACTTTCAGGGATTTTTTTAAAAATTGAATTCAGTGCACATGGGATGCAAGGTTATTTGATAAACACATGGCTCTGTGCTAAAAACACCACAATGCAAAGTCCCCTTCAAAGTAATCCCAAGGGAGATCCTTATGCCCTTGATGGCAAGAAAGAAGGGAGACTCTGGCTATGGTGAGGCTTTTGCTTCTACCTCAGTCCTTATGGTATATGACTTGGGCATTATTTTTCCTTTTACACTGTGTCCCTTCTTCT